CCATCTACTTCAGTGACATAGTTGGATTTTCTCATATAACCGCGAAATCGACAGGTGGGCAAATTGCCGAGTTCCTCAACGACCTCTACTCCACATTCGATCTTGCAATCCGAAACTTTGAGGTCTACAAGGTGAGTTAGTTCTAATTTTCACAAAAGTTAAACGCATAGTTCGCCATTTCAGATTTTGATCGGAAAGGTCCAATTTGTCGTGATATCCGCCCGATTATTCTCTACAATTTCCTACGTTATACGACGAACCTTATCCTATCTGAGATAGGCACGCAGTGATTTAAACACAGTCATCAGGACATTGATCTTAATTTGCTGCGGAAGTGTCTATGCAGTTGACTGTGGAAGCCAATGGTGTGTTAAAATGACGACATTAACAGTTTGCCGGATGCAAACTGTTTATTAAATCCAAAAAATGCTGGAAATCATCCGGTTTGCATAAACTGCCATTTCCGATTTATTATTCGTCATCGACCAGTGGTATCCCAACCGAAGGTGTTAGTGTGCCCGGAGTTTTCAACTATAATGGGAACGGGAACGAAACTGAGAGGTCCTCAAATAGTTTGAAAATGTTTGCCGGGTGTTTTTTTCAAGTTCGAGGAATTTTAAACGACTCGCTATGTTTCTGACAGCAATACTGACATTTATTTATAAAATGAAGGATTTGGAATGTTTCCGATAATTTTGTAATCATTAGCACAGCCAAAAATACATCGCCTATCACTACATAACGCTGTATTCTCAAATTGCGTTAAAATACCACTCTCTTTCCTGAACAAAGTATTCCGTATTAGGACCTTTTCGGACTCCAGGGCTCAATTCCGCCTATCAATACATCCTCGTGAACTTTTGCCATCTCTGTTTTTTAAGCATAAAGGGTTGTAAGCAATGTAAACGAATATGACACCAGTTTTATTGGCTGTCGTTCCAGTTTGGAGCTCGTCCGTAAAAGTTCTATTTAGCCCCAGCTCCCTTCGGGGAAAACCAATTTCGCACAGGTCCACATTTTTCAGATCAAAGTCAAGTAATGAACTTGTTTAACATCTGATTAAATCGCTTTACTATTATATCGAGGGAACTTTGCCTGCACAGCCCCGCTGCATACGCATGCAAAGTTTTTGTCTCGCTGATGTGTCACGGTTCACTGTAATAATACATTTTCCAGGTTGAAACTATCGGCGACTCCTATGTGGTGGCCTCGGGTTTGCCAATCCGCAACGGTCGCAGACACGCCGGCGAAATCGCATCGATGGCACTTGAGCTGCTCAGCATCAGTGGCAGGTTCGTCATTCGTCACATGCCGACGATTCCTCTGCTTCTGCGTATCGGTATACATACGGGTGAGTTTACATTTGACCCCTTTCAGTCCGCGCTTAAGCGATGCGTTCAACTGCAGAGAGCAAATCAGCATTCTGCTGGAGTTTGCCTAAGAAGTAAACGTAGAAGATAAGAGCTTTCAAGACTCATGTCTCAATCGGAAATAAGAGAATTGCTTACTAAATGTTAATCTATAATTCTTAAAATCTTTCTCTTCAGGAAACGGTGTTAAAAAACACTGAAATTTATATCAGTACTGAAGATGGTCTTATGCTGCGTCATCTCAAGCCAATGCTATAACCACCTGAATGCAAAAGCTACATTTCTCGATCATTTGAAAATAAGCTAGAAAAAAACACCCGTGATTTAATAGACAAACTTTTTATTACCTTAGAGGCATTGTTAATTGAATTGCATGAGAAAGATATCTCTCATCTGCTCAGTAAAGGATAGAGTAAATTGTGGACGGCTGAGGGTTGAGGAACAGTTTATGCCACGTTAGCCATTGCGTCCAATCTTCATCCATCAATCAGCGTGTTTGGCGTAAATAATATTAGCCCCTGAAAGCTCCATTTAGAGGGTACATGTCTGCATAAAACATTTGAGTTTCAAATATTGTACAAGTATTTTTATTGCGTAAAATGCATCAGAATAATAGCGAAAGAGAATTTTCAAGAATACTTAAGATTTGCGAAATAACAGTGAATGATACATTCACCGCATTTGCACTATGGAATGTTCAGCCCAGTATCAAAATCCATGTTAACAATATGATTTACTGAAATCACGTTAGTAGGATGCTTATAGTCAAATCACTGGCTCATTAGATGTGGTTTGGGACTTTTGGTTGACTTTTAACAAGTGGATAGCCAGACGCCTCTTAAGCAAACTCGCGGCGGGGGAATGCACAAAAAAACGTCGGCTAGGATTGACGAAACCGTTAAGACATTGGAGATAGGTATAGCGAAGGAAGTCTATCATTCCCAGATCCAAAGTTCATTTTATTAGCCTGACTATGAACCGGCTGTCATTTGACAGGGTAATACAACCCTAATCTGTATACTTAATAAAAGTGAGGTCTCTGTCTGTTTGTCTGTCTGTGTGT